CTGACGGGAGGGAGAAGCAGGGAGCTCCCTGGGATGACTGAAGTGTTCTGTACCTTGTGTTGGTGAGGGTACACAGGTGTGTGTAACTGTCCGAAGTCATCACATGCTCGAGATACGTGCACCTCGTTGTATACTGATCATGTTTCCGTGAAAACGAGGTTTGCTCTCTTGCCGCCACAGCAGCTATTTTCTCAGCTTGAGGAAGTCTTACTCTGGTCACCACGTTTCTTGATGACTGATTCCGGGAACAGGAATCTCCGCACCAGCCCAGACATGCATTCCCTCTGCCAGGGAGTAGAGGAAAACCCGCACTGTTACTTAGCTGTGAGGATAATTCCACCCGGAGACACGGCTACTCACAGAAGCCCAGCAGGACTCTGTCACTGACAAATCACCTCATTCGGGATCTTCAAGAATTACCATTTTTCATCATGATGTATGTCAAGGAACTGTACCATACAGGTCCAACAAATACAAACAAAGGTTCTCTTCTGCGAGGAGCAAATGCACTGTATACAGAGCCAGAGAAGCCCGAATCCAGTGTCCCCGGGGAGCCAGGGACCCTCTGCCCTTCACTGCCCGGCGCCGGAGGGGCAGGTGATGTGACCACACACGTCCCTTACAAATCCAAGGATTCTTCATGAAGAAGTGAAGCTTCTTCCCAGAAAACCACCTCAGCCTTGGAAACTAAGCAGAATTTAAAAATAAATATCCAGTATCGCAACAGAGGGATGAAGGGTCTTTCCAGTCCTAAGCATGGTGGCGGATCACCTACAGGGCCGCCTAGTCAAGGTTCGCCTGGCTCTGAGTAGCAGGAGGACCGTGACCTGAGGACTCAGGCTCCGGTCTCAGCCTGAATTCATTCTTTCTTCCCCCGCAGTTGTTTATAGCTCTGTGTAAAGGCATCTGGCGGCCTCCGCCTGACTGGCTGGCTGCCAGCCTGCTGAAGAAACAGTCCGAAGGTGCGGGCACTCTGTAGCCATTGTAGCTGCCCAGGATAATTTAATAGAATTCTGAAGCCTGACCCGGGTTCCATCTTCTGCTTCACAGATGATGCGGATAGATACATATCATCTCCATTTAAAAGTTAAGGTATGCCCTGGTCGGTTTGGCTCAGCGGTTGGAGTGTCCAGGGTTCGGTTCCCGCTAAGGGCACGTGCCTCGGTTGCAGTTTGTTCCCGCCCTGGCTGGGGTTGTGTGGGTGGCAGCCAGTTGATGTGTCCCTCTCACATCAATGTTTCCCCTCCCCCCACTCTATCTGAAGATAAATGCAAAAGTGTCCTCTGGTGAGGATAAAAAAAAAAAATTTTTAAGTTAAGGTATGATTCAGGCAAGACTAGGTGAAAATGTGTGAAGGAGCAAGACATAAACCCAAAATATCTCCCACAAAAGTACTTATTAACCACAAAAGGGAAAATAATAATTTAACAGTGGAAAAGCTGATGAATACCACCTTAACCAAATGGTCAATGCTCTGGTTATCAATAATAAAATCAACCCACAGTGTATGCTCATGATAAGATGCACTAAGAAGGACACATTATCCCCTCTGGGACATTCTGGCCGAAACGCATGATCTGACTCGAACAAGGAGGAAACGTTAGTCAAACCCAAGTTAGATAAAGTCAAGGTCATGAAAGACAAAGGCAGGCTGAGGATGTGTTTTACATCAAAAACCCTAGAAAGACAGAGAACGAAATGCAACCCGCGATCCTGGACTAGAAATATAAACAGCCATAAACAACATTCATGGGATAGTTGGGAACATTTAAATATAAAGTAGGAAATAGTACTAGATGGATGTTAAATGTCACATATCATGAAGTTGATAACTATATTGAAGTTACATAAGAAAAGATTCTTGTTCTTGGATATGCCCATGGAAGTATTTAGAGATGATATAAGGAAAAGGAGGAGGAGGAGGAGGAAGAGCAGGAGGAGAAGGGGCAAAGGGGGAGGGGAGAAGGAAAGAAACCAAATGTGGAAACTGGTAACTGGTAACTCTATGTGAATCTTTTGTCAAATGGGGTGAAAAGAGGGTGGAGATGTGAACTGGGCTCAATCCCTCCCTGAAATACCAGCATCCCTGAGAGTCAGAAGACCTCTCATGGATCCCTGTGGAGACCAGCTGAACTTCTTGGGGAGGGGGTATACATGCACTCAGCTAGATGAACTGGAGTAACTCTGATCATCTTATCTTTTCCCTCGGTTTCCATGGCAAATGCCTGCTGTGCTCCCTCACGACAGTATCACCTTTTCTTAGAACTGGCACCTGCTTACCATCTAGGCACCTGTAAACAAGTTATGAACAATGCCTGACTTGGCCCCTTTCTGCACGAACAAGGAAAGATGACACACTGCTTCTCACATTGTTCACTTCCCTTTGCTAGTGGAATTGATCGACCAGTATTATACACTTGCTTCGTGTTTGAAGATCACGTTTGCTGTAATCCTATAATTAAGGAAATAGTTTCTTCAATTTATAAACAAATGATGATCTGCAGATATTATGTCTGTGTTTTAATAAGTAGTGAGGCCTGCTGTACAATTTTTTTTTTTTTTTTTTTTTTTTTTTTTTGGTACGTGCCCCTAGCGGGAACCGAACCTGGGACTCTCTGGTCTGCAGGCTGATGCTCCAAACACTGAGCCAAACCAGCCAGGGCCTGCTTTACAATTTATAGCTCATGAATCTCTATACATTTACTACTTAGCCTTCTGGTGACATTAAGCTACAGCTTGAATTATGATGAAAGCAATATTATTTATACAAAGATGCTTTGGTAATTTATTCAAAAAGCACTTATTGAAAGCCTTCAACATGTCAGGCACTCTGTTATTTGGAAATAAATGCTGCGCTCTCATATTGATGTTTCTCTCTCTCCCTCTCTGGCTCTCTAAAAAAAAATCAATAAACTATTCTTTTTGATAATATATTTTCATTGATTTTTTAGAGAGAGAGAGAGGAAGGAAGAAAGAAATAGAAACTTGGATGTGAGAAAGAAACATTGATCGGCTGCCTCCTGCACGCCCCCTACTGGAGATCGTCTGCAACCCTGGCACGTGCCCCGACTGGGAATCGAACCAGAACCTCTCAGTCCATGGGACGATGCTCAATCCACTGAGCCACACCAGCCAGGCTTAACTATTCTTTGAAAAAAAAAGAAAGAAAAGAAAAGCTTGGTATTAAGTCTTGTCCTACTGGGGATCTTTAAAAAGTGTGTGTGTGTGTGTGTGTGTGTGTACACACACATACATACATAAAAATCATATACTCTCACATAAACATGCAAATAAACAAAATAACGTACTTTCTGTTCATAAAAACATCTGAAGGATTGAGATGGCAAAGGGTACAATTATTTTTATTGTGTTGATTTTTATCTTTAAAGATATTTCCAAAAGAAATTATAAGGTGTTGTGTGACCAGGGACTCTCTGGGCTCGGCCCTCTGTCATTGTCTGGCTCCCCTCTGGCTCACATGATGGCTGCAGGAGCACTGGGCACCACACCCAGGCAGGACAGCACCTAACGGCCACTTGCTCTTGTGTCTCTTTTGTATAAAACTCCTTTTTGAATGGAATGTACTCCACTTGGGGTTTATCTGGTGCTTCCTCAGGGTTAGATTCAGGCTATTGCTCTGCCCTTCCTGGGTCATCCCAGATGGAGGACATGTTTCCACCTGTTCCTCACTGGTGGTGTTAGTTTTTATCAGCCAGCCCAGCTGCTGAAGTTTCTAGATATTGTGTTTTCTCTTGCAACGAATCAGCTTTCTATGCATAGACGTTTTAAGACTATACAAACATTTTGATCCTCGCCAAATCCCCCGCTATGTTGAGCATCCATCCACCCATCCATTGATGATTCTTACCTGAACCGCTCTTTCTTACAAGGGTTGTAAAATGATGACTTTCCCGCTCCGGCTCTCCCAGTAAAATTATCAGCTTGCATTGGCATTCTACGTGCATCAATTTACTTTTTTTTTTTTTTATCCTCACCTGAGGATATTTTTGCATTTATCTTCAGATAGAGCGGGAGGGAGGAAGAGAGAGAAACATCGTGAGAGAGACACATCAACTGCTTGTCACCCACACGACCCCAACAGGGGCCGGAGACGAACTGCAACCAAGGTACGTGCCCTTAGTGGGAACCAAACCCGGGACTCCCTGGTCCACGGGCCAACGCTCTAACCGCGGAGCCAAACCGGCCACAGCTCAATTTACTTCTGATGGATTGTCTGGCTAGGACTGGAACTCTGGGTGGAAAATCATTCTCTTCAGAATTTTGAAGGCATTACTCCACTTATCTTGGAGCATCCCGGGTGGCTAGTGAGTCTGTCGTCACACCGATTCCAGTTCCTGGAGGTATGACCTGCTGCCCGTCCTCACCCACCCGCAGAAGCCTTGGAAGCATTTTGTGATCCTCGATGTTCTGACATTGTACGATGATGTGCCTGGACTATTCCTGTCCCTTTCGTCCTGAAGGCCTGGCTCCCATGGTGGTCCACCCTCCTGCTCCTGGCTGTTGCCTAGGACAGGTGTCAAACGTCATCTAATCCCTTCCCTATTCTGCAAATATTGGATCCTCCCTTCCCTGAACTCTAAATCTTTCTCTGTTTTGGTTTACTCCCTCATTTTGCTGAACCTCTATCCTCTAGTAACCTCTCTCAAGCACAATGTTAAGAGAAAAAAGGTAATGAGTAATAACGAGAGTAATAACTCCGAGACTAACAGAGTCACTCACTATACATGTCTGCACCTAGCGTAACTGTCTGCAGTTATTATTTATGGATTGACTCTGGGAAAATAATAAACAAGGGAAATGGGGAGGGGAAGAACAAGAGACCCCAACTTTATCAGAAACAGTCCATTTCTTTTATTTTCAAAATATCTGTAGAAATAAACAAAAAAATCATAACTGTATCAATCATGTATGTACTAGGTGTTCATCAAAGTATTTAAGAGATTAAAATAAAAATTTCCTAAATATTAAATCCCTCTATTTATACAATGATAGAACACAGATGAATCCTTGGTGTATAATTTACTTTAAAAAAAAACAGTTAAAAATACATCTGAACATCAAGACCAAAATTAAAGAAAAACACTGCATGATAAAGACATGAGTGCCATCCCTCATAAGACAATTGCTATTGCTGCATACATACTATTTTTCACTGGTTATTTCACGAGCCTTTGCAGAGACGCATCAGCTCCTCAATGACCCGAGCCCAGTGCACTGGAACTGCAATTGCATTAATACATCATCTCAGTCCACTAAACAATCCGCATCAACTTCCAGTCTGCTGTCGCAAGTGCATTCTAATGCTCTGCTCCCGCAGGAGTGAAGAGCCCTCCTGTCTCTCTCAGGACGCTTCTCCCTGGTGGCCTAACGCAGGGATGTGCTCTCTCCCAACCTTCCCTAACACCCAGTGCCGACCAGCACTTCTAAGACCAGCGCCCTCACTATGCAGACACAGCCACTACTGTCCAGGCCTGAAATGGGCTGATGCAAAGGTCAAGTATGTCCATTTCCAGAAGGAAAGAGAACATGTTACATAAACAGTCTTTAAATGCATAGATTGCAGTGTACGCGGAAACACATGTAAGATAAGGAAAACAATACACCTGCAACGCCAGTCAGACCGGAGATTTGCTGGGTGTGAGCGCCACGGGAGTGGCGAGATAAAGCTCGCGAGGGGTGACATTAACTGGGGAAGGCTTGACGACAGGGGCGAGGCCCTGGAAGACTCGTACTATCTGCACAGGCGGCGCAGGCGCTCCCGGTGTGGGCAGCAGCATAAACAAAGGCCCAGAGGTAGGAAGGAGCAGAGCGTGCGGAAAGGCCAGCGAAGGCGTGGCCACAGCTGGCGCCGGGCTCGGGGTCTGGAGAGGACCTGGCGACAAGGCTGAAGAGGGGCACTGGGGACTCATCGGGGTGGGCTTCTTCTGCACAGGGTGTACTTTCTGGTGCTGGACGAAACTGCCGTACCACTTGAAGGCCTTCCCGCACACCGAACACGCGTACGGCCTCTCCCCGGTGTGCACTCTCCGGTGCTGGACCGAGGCTATCTTCTGCGTGAAGGCCTTGCCGCACTCCGCACACTGGTAGGGCTTCTCCCCAGTGTGAACCCTCTGGTGGACGAGGAAAAGTGACCTGCAGCCGAAGGCTTTCCAGCACGCCCCGCACTTGTAGAGCTTCTCCCCGGTGTGGAAGCGCTGGTGCTGCAGGAAGGCGGCGCTCCGGCGGAAGGCCTGGCCGCACTCCCCGCACGCGTACGGCTTCTCGCCGGTGTGGATCCGCTGGTGCTGCGTCAAGGCCGTGTTGGAGCTCAGCCCTTTGCCGCACTCCTTACACTCGTAAGGCCCTTCTCCCACGTGATTCTTCTCGTGCACGATGCAGTCATAGCTGGACTTGAAGGCTTTGCCGCATTCCTTACACTTGAAGGGCTTCTCCCCAGTGTGACTCATCTGATGCCGAAGGAGCTTGGAGTTGTACCTGAAGATTTTCCCACATTCTTTGCACTCATAGAATTTCATTCCCCCTCGAAGTATCAGGTTCGGATTCAGACTGAAAGTCGGCCACGTGGCCTTGGCCTTGCTTTTCAAGTCGAGGTGCGGAGAAACGTCTCGGAGGAGTCCGCCTCCTGGCGCGCCGGGCCGCTCTGCGTCTCGCGAGGCTTCGTGCTGCACAGGCCACTCTTCGTCCTCGACCCAGGACTCCCCACCTGACCACAGAGACCATGAGGGTTCCGAGTTACTCAGCTGGACAGAGAACAGAAGCCAGGGCCCTACTTTTCTCCTGCAGGATGTGATCTTTTAAAATATACCCATGGAATGGCTATGCGCATCCATAAAAGAGGACGAAGGAGAGAAAGAAAAGAGTAACATGCAACTGGAGAGGCAGGGACACTGGAAACGACCAGGAGGTGCCTCCTGTAGGGAAGGCCGGGGAACCTGAGGCAGGTGAAACGGGCAGAATGGGAATTTCAAGAATGGGAGAGAAAGAAGGTGGGGGCGGGGGACGGGGGGACGGGACAGGGATCAGCAGAAATGAAAAATTGTTTTAAAGACAGAGAGACCCGGAAGAGGAAGAAGCCCAGTGAGACTGCCCAGACGTCAGCTCCAGACGTCAGCTCCAGCCCGAGAAGAGGCAGCCAGGCCGGGAACACCAGCGAGCCAACGACAGATCGCAATGCCCCCCCGTGGGCCAGGAAATTCTAAGTTCTAAATAATGGACTAATAATTCCTTTTTGCAATGCTCTACATAATTCTCTGGGATAAAAGATTCTTGCCAAAGTCAGCTGGAACAGAAGCTGACCTGGAGCGCTGCAGGCCACCGTGGCATCACTGCTGAACCGACCACTCACAGGATCACGGTGCGTGTGAGAAGTGAGGCCTGGGCCTTTCTCCCAGGACTGGCCAGAGTCAGGGAAATAAATGTGAGGTGCGACATGCTGGGGGCTGCGGAGAGTATTCCTCGCCTTCTCCGCCAACCCCATAAAAGACAAATGCAATATAAACCTAAAGATTATGGCTTAGGAAATTTTAAAATGCCCAAAAAAGGTAAATTAAGATAAAATTCATAGCTGTGGTACAAATAAATCAGTGTGACCCACAGAATCAAATTTTCCTTAAAATATGGCTGAAACCCTACTTCTCTGCCATGAAATTGGCATAACATTAAATGTTTCCCCTGGTGAGAGATGTGGGGCAGGAGCTGCTGGCCAGTCTCCTGCGGGAGGACTGGCCGTGTGTGCGGACAGGTGTGGCCGGGCATCCCGGCCTGGTCTTTCTGGGCTGGGGCTGGAACTCAGTAGAGGTCAGGTGCACCGAGGCCTCCTTGTGGACAACAGGGAGCTTTGCTTCTGCTGCAGAAGAAACGTTTCCAGTAGACCAGAAAGTGCTGTCTTCTCACTCACCTGGGCAGATGCCTCGCAAAGCCTCTGCTTCCCAGGGATCAGGGCCCCAAGGTGCCTCCCCTCGCTCCAGCCGGGCGATCAGAACAGGTTTGGGGAATGGAAATGCTACTGCAGCAAGAAAAAGACAGACAAGCTGAGGGAGACACGCAGAGCTCTTCCTGAGCTCTCTCTTGGCCCACCCACACGCGCTGCTCGGGGAGCGGGGAGAAATGGACCGCCCGGGAGACCAAGGGAGCCAGCCAGGCGTTCTGAGGAAGAGCTCAAACTGCTCCAAGGGAATGCACGAAGACAGCCGTTCTCCACGGCAGAAGCTTCAACCTTGTGCTGGCTTAGAAGAAAGGAAATCCCCTCAGGAAGGATGTCTGTACTGTTATCCTGGGAGATGCCTCCACGAGGGGGGGGGGCGCCTACAACCCCAGGACAATGGAAGGATGGAGGAAAGAAGGGATCACCTCGGGCACCAGGAAGTCCTTCCCCTCGGAGCCCAGAACCGGCTCTTCCCTGAAATGTAAGGAAGTCCAGTTTCAAAACCAAAGGGCACCAGGGACTTTCCCACCCAGCATCTCCAGAGGCTGGTAACTGCGGAACTCCCCCCGGAGCCTCAAACCCAAGGGCTACTAGAATCCCCAAAATATGAGGAAGATGTCAAACCATCAAAAGAGCCACTGGGAGAGACCTTACCCAAGGCAGCCACGTTGGCGTAGTTCTCCAGCATCACCTCCCTGTACAGGGCCCTCTGCACAGGGGCCAGGCTGGCCCACTGATTCTGGGTGAAGTATACGGCCACATCCTCAAAGGTCACCGGCTCCTGAAACAACAGGTTCCTGCTCACGCCTGAATGAGGGCAAAGGAGGGGCCTGAACTGCAGGGTCCCCAACTCTGAGCCCTGTGGGAGGTCTGCTCTAACAAGAAGAGCACCCAGCACCCAGCCAGGGCCCGGTTCTCAGCCAGTGTTCTCCAGTGCTCTCCCATCTGCTCAGCTCTGGGCCCCAACTGTCATCCTCCTCTCACAGCCTGGCATCTGGGGCTCAGTGCCTGGTAACGGCACCACCCCTGTGGGTCTGTCCCTCTGGCACCTCCTCCCTCATGTACTCCGTAATCTGTCACCTCAGTTTCTATGCACCGACCACCACAGGCAGCTGAAGTACACACGCACGGCCGCACCTGTTCCCCACAGAGGAGCTGCCTCAAAAAACTTCCCAGCATTTTGCAAATTTCTTTTTATAACTTCTTACTTTATCAGTAAGCTAGCTCTGTTGAAGGAAACCGCAACCTGCCTGTTCCGGCCTCTTCTCTGAATCACTTGTCTTCAAACAAGGTTCTCAGTGCCCCGACTCTGGGCACAGATCCCTCCCACCTGTCAAGGTGTGTGCCCTCTCTGCCTCCCCCTGGGATCATCTTCGTCTTCCCAGGAGTGAAGGGGATTTGTTAATGTCTCTCTCCCCCGACCCGAATGTACGTCCACGAGGCAAGGATTTTGCTTTGCTCGGAACCGGTTTTACTAGGACACAGTCCACTGCCTGGCTGATACGCGAAGCTTCATATAGATATGCTGAAAAAACTAATTTCAAAAATGGTCTGACCACAAATAAGATGTTTAAATTTATGAAGAGATCAGAAAACAAGAGCAAACACCACCTTAACAGTAAAATGCCAGAGCATATCCATTAACATGGATGGCTGACAATGTACCGTGAGCTGAGGTCTAGTTCCTGGGAAAGACTGAAAAGGAGCACACAGGAAAGGAATAAACACAAATACCTTTGCTTTGGAGATAAACTAACTACACTCATCCCTCCGTATCCATAGGGGACTGGTTCCAGGATCCCCCGGGGTGCCAAAAATCTGAGGATGCTCAAGTCCCTTATATAAAGTGGCCTAGTATTTGCATATAACCTACACAATCCTGTACACTTTAAGTCATCTCTAAACTATTTATAATACCTAATACAATGTAAATGCTATGGAAATGGTGGTAGTACTGTATTGTTTAGAGAATAATGATAAGGAAAAAAGACTGTACATGATCAGTACAGATGTAACCATTGTAGGCCTAACCACAGAGTACACATCAGCAACAACGTAACTTTTTTAAAAAATATTTTTGATCCATGGTTGATCCAATATGAAGATGCAAACCCTGCAAATATGCAAATACGGAGGGCCAACTGTATCTGCCTAAAAATATCCAACAGCCAAGAGAATGAATAAAAAACATTTAAACTGACAAAACAACCTGTTAAGTTAGCTAGATATAGGATAAATAAACCGAAACATTAGCTTTCCTAATTACCATCACAAATAATTAGAAGATAAAATGGAAGAAAATTAGATCCCACTGATATAAAAATAGCTAAGAACATACCTAATAAAAAATGTGTAAGACCAAGATGAAGAAAAATCAATGTTTATTAAAATAAATAAAAGAACTGAATATATTGGAACATACAGTGTTTCTGAATGGGAACAATCAAATTTGTATAATGTTAACTTTTCTCCAATTTTGCCTATGAATTCAGTAAAATCCATTCCCCCACCAATAGAATCAATGAGATGTGCTCAGGGGTAAAGGATCATTTAAAGCCATCTTAAAAAGTAAGTGAGAAAGACTAGCTGAGAATGTTTGCAAGAAAAAAAAAATTTTTGAAAGAAATGATGAGGGGGAATTAAACCTCAAAAAGGCAACACTCTGAAAACACGAGGAGAAAGCCACAGAGAAGGAGAAACATCTGAACAAAGGGTCTGATAGAGGACTGTTATCCAAAGCATACAAAATACTCTTAAAACACGATAATAAGAAAGCAAACAACCTAATTTAAAAAGTGGGCAAAATGCCCTGGCTGGTTTGGCTCAGCATTTAGAGCGTTGGCCCTCAGACCAGAATCTCGGGTTCAAGTCCAGTCAAGGGCATGTCACTCGGTTGCAGCTCGTGTGGGAGGCAGCCAATCAATGTCTCTCTCTCTCTCCCTCCTCCCTCCCACTACATCTAAAGATAAATGAAAAAATATCCTGGGGAAGGATTTAAAAAACAAACAAAAAAAAAAACTGGGTAACCTGAACAGATACCTCATCAAAGAAGACACACAGATGGCAAGTAAGTATATAAGATGCTTAATTAACATAGATGTCATCTGGGAAATGCAAATGAAAACAATGAGATACACGTCTATCAGAATAGCCAAACCCAGAACACTGACAACCAAATGCTGGTGGGAATGTAAAATGGTACAGCCACTTTGGAAGACAGTTTGGCAGCTTCTGACAAAACTAAACATACTCTCTTACCATCTGATCCAGCAATCATGCTCCTTGGTATCTTCCCAAATGAGTTGTAAACTTATGTCCGCACAAAAACCTGCACACAGAGGTTTACAGCAGCTTTATTCATAATTGCCCAAGTCAAAAGCTACCACAATGTCCTTAGTAGGTAAATGGATAAAGTGTGGTCCATCCAGACAATGGAATATTATTCAGCACTAAAAAGAAGTAAGCTATCAAGCCATGAAAAGTCACAGAGGAACCTTAAATGAATATGACTAAGTGAAAGAAACCAATCTGAAAAGGCTATACTATATAATTCCAACTATATGGTGTTCTGTATATAGTTTAAAAAGTCAATGGTTTCCAGGGAGGCAGGGATAAATAAGTAGAGGCCAGAGGATTTCCAGGGCTGTGAAAATACTCTGCATGATACCATAATAGTGGATACATGTCATTACACATTTGTAACCCATACAATGTACAACACCAAGGGTGAACCCTGATGCAAATGATGGACTCTGGGTAATGATGATGTGTCAGTGAAGGTTCATCAATTGTAACTAATGTACGACTCTGATGGGGGATGATGAGAATGGGGGAGGCTATGCAGGTGGAGGCAGGAAGCACATGGGAACCATTTTTTCTGCTCAGTTTTGCTATGAACCTTAAAACTTCTGTAAAAAATGAAGTTTACCAAAAAAAAAAAAAAAGACAATACTTAATCTCTTACCAAGGAAAACCTTTTAAATATATAAATCTAACCATGTCATCTCCCTGCTTAACATCCTGTAGGGCTGTCCCAATGAACCCAGAGTAGAAACCAAAGTCTGCCCAGTGACCTATAAGATATGTGCCTATTTCTCCCACCTCACACTGAGCAACTTTCTCTGACCTACCCATTTCTCAAGTACCCCAGCTCTCTCCCTCACTTTAGGAGCTTTGCATTGGCTGTCCTGCTCTCTGGAAAGTTCTCTCTTCAGTGGTTCTCAAGGCTGTTTCTATCTCAGCATTGACACGTCTCAACCTCACGCTACCACCTCTATGAGACCTCCCCTGACCATTACCTTCAGAGGTAGCTTCTTCGAGGTTTCTCAAATTTGAGGCGCAAGAATCACCTTCCAGGTGATTCCTGACCCCAGGCATCCTCCCCCCTTGCCCCAGTCTGATGGAGTCTAGGGTAGGGCCCAAGAATCTGCCATTCTAATGAGCTCCCAGGTGATGCCCACACTGCCAGTAGACCACACTCTTGAGAAGCACTGTGCTTTCGCAACATGTAATTATGGTATTTGTTTGCAGACTGTCTGTTTTGCTAATGAGAGAAGGGAACTTGTCTGCATTATTCAATACTTATACACGTAGCATTTAGAAGGTACATACGGAAAGAACAATGCTAGTCTCTCTGGGATCCGTCTCCAATTTGGGGGGCAATCTCTTCAATGAAGAATTTCTGATCTCAACAGGTGCCTTTTCTTTGTAGAACATGATCCAGATTTCCACAGTAAGGAAGAATTCTTGGCTTGGGTCCCCCTTTTACACTTAAACCTACACATCCAAATTCATCACTACATACAAAACTCGAATTTCCTCCACCAGTATCTACAGCCATCGCCTTGGGGACAGACTCAGAAAACCAGAGCCCGGCCACGGGGGGCGTCCTAGGTCCTTTCCTGACCAACTGATGGCTAATGCGACGTAAACAGACGCAAGGAAGCTCCGCTCACCTGGGGCCAAGTAGTCTGGGGCATGGCTGACGTCCCCGGGCTCCGGCACTGGCTCCTGGCTTTGGATACGCGAGAACCTGAAGCTAGGAGAAGAGGAGCCGTGAGTGCAGGAGCTCTGTGCGGCGACGCCCACACCCCAGGGCCTCCCCAGGCTCCTTCCCAGCCCTGGTAGGGGACTCCATCAGCCCCCTCGGGCTGATCGCCCCAAACTCCTCCGATGGCCCTGCCGGACCCGGGCACTCCTGCGTCGCCCCACGCCGAGCCCATGCGCACAGTGCGCTGGACCCCGACGAGCCCCGCCCCACAGCCGGGTCCGAACAACCTTGACCAGCCCTACAGGGGCCGTGACGGTGAGCCACGGAGGCGCCCGTGGGGGGCGCCGGGGCGGCGGGCAGTGTTCCCGGGGGAGACGTGGACCGAGGCCCCTCGGGGGTCTGCGCCCAGGGAAGCAGGTGACCCCAAACACAGTCGTCAGCACCGGGGCGGGAGGCTGCTGGGCCAAATTCTTTAGGGTGGAAAGAGGATCACGCTTCGGGCCGGGGCTCCGGAGGCCGCGCGGCCACCTCGGGCGGCTGGTGCGAGGCCGGACGCCGGAGCTCCGGTCAGGGGAGGGCGCGCGATCACGGGGACCGCGCTCAGAGCAGGTGCTGACGAGGCGCCAGGGGAAGGGGGAGGCCGGCACCGGGCGGACCTGGCTCGTAGAACTCGCTGGAACCCACACTCTTCCTCTCCGAGCCCCGAAAAGCTGGGAGCAAACCCCATGCGGAAGTGAGCGCGCGCGCCCAGCGCCCCTCTAGGCTGCCCGGAGGCGGCCCATCTCGGTGGTCCCCGCGGCCCGACCCCACGTGACTGGGCCGACCCTGCGGAAGGGGTGGGGGTGTGGGCGGGGCGCTGCCTGCGCCGTCACGGGGGCGGGGCCTTTGCCAGCTGCCACCCTCGGAACCTTGTCGGGACAGGGGTGTTGCGGCACCGACACAGCTTCGCTCCACTCAGACCTCGGCCTCTGGGCCCAGGTGGGCCGCAGGTAACGGACTGCCCCGTCCGCTGTCGGCCGGCATTACCCGTGGGTCACCTGGGCGGTGCAGGTGTGGGGCACGCCAAGGGTCCTGCTTGGGCCCCGGGCTGGGCAGCCCTCAGGAAAACCATGGTTTCCACCTGCCTTTCTAAAGCTCCCTCCTTCCAAGGACCTAGACGTGTGGGAGACCTTTGGGGGAGATCCATTTAACAACCAAAATAATGGTGATTCTGATTGCCAGGCATACTGTGTATACAGGACATGCCCTATATTAAATGGTTTAGTCCTGTGTGTTGACTTTGGCAGGATGCCCTAAATGTCCTGTGTTTAGCTTTTTCCAATAAGTTACACACACACACAAATCTGTACTTTAGAGCTTTGGGGGTTGTTGGCTCTGTTTATTGTCTCGTGGTGACTGCTTCACTGGTGTGTATATAAGTCAGACCTTATCAATGACATTCTAATAAATCACATTTTGTTTTAATTATACCCAGTCACTGCTCTAAGCACTGGTACATGTATTACTGCAGTTAATCCTCAACACAAACCTATGAGGTAGACTGTCATCTCTATTTTACAGATAAGGAAACTAATAAGAGTTTCTGTACCTTCACTCTCTGCTTCCTGCAGTGGGCAGTCAAGCTCTCTGCAAAAGTGGTAGCTAATTCCCTGACTAAAAAAAATAACTAGATAAAGTTGCAAAGTAATGTTCCCTGCTATGAAGACACTTGGAACAGCAATGAGATGTGAAATTTAAGACAAGTAGCATCTTCCATCTGAACCCCAACTTCTGCAAAGGCACAGACTGCAACTGAGTAACTTCAGAGTAAGAAGTGGTGTGGGTGGGTGCTGCACCCTAGGTAACTCTCTTCTGGGAATGTCCTAAATGCAGATGGCTCCATGTGGACAAAGCCCCTCTGTTTTTGAGTTTAGAAGACTTTTAAAATTCAGATTGTAATAAGGTGTCCACATATCTTTTTCTTTCCTGGTTTACCCCTTGTTTAGTATTGCACATCTGAGAACGGATACATGGGGGATGGTTTTAAGATTTAAGGATCTGAAATGCCTTCATTCTGGGTGAAATCATTTTCCCTTAGAATTTTGAAGGCATACACCATAGTCATGTAACTTTCAAGGTTGCTGTTGAGAAATAGGTTGCCATTTTTATTCCTGATCCTTTGTTTTTTCTCTCTAGAAACTTTTTAGGATCTCATCTTCAAAGCTGGTGGTGTCCTGATCCATCTTGCTGGGCACTCCCTGTATCCTTTCAGTCTAGAAACATACATTACCTTTCAGGTTTGTCAGTTTTCAGGTTTGTTTGTTTTGTCTTTTCTAACTGCAAAGAAAGTTGATGTCGGGGAAATAAGGGCTCAGAGAATTTGAGGACATTTTCATGATGGAACCTGAATTAAATATCTTACTGGGGCAGGGAGAGAAACTGGGATTCCAATTATGCAGAGCCATAGGAACAGAAGCATAAGGCTAGAATGAGCACAGTCCAGCCCTGGCCTGGTGGTTCAGTCAGTTGGAGCGTTGTCCTGTCCACCAAAATGTTGCAGGTTTGATCCCCAATCAGCATGTACAGGGGGCAACCAATGGATGTTTCTCTCTCTCTCTCTCTACCTCTCCCTTCCTCTCTCTCTAAAAATCAATAAATATACCCTCAGGTGAGGATTAGGAAAAAAAAGAATTAGCACAGTGATGACACCGATTAAAAAAAACAAAAAAACATGAGTCTGGCCCGTGTGGCTCAGTGGTTGAACGTCGAACCATGCACCAAGAGGTCGCCGGTTCCGGTTCCTGGTCAGGGCACATGCCCAGGTTGTGGGCCCGATCCCCATTGGGGAACATGCAAGGCAGCCAATTGATGTTCTCTCTCATCAATGTTTCTATCTCTCTCTCCCTCTTACTTCTTCTCTCTCTGGAATAAGGAAAAAAATTTAAAAAGTAAACAAACATGAAAGTGGGGAGACAGAGGCACAGTGAGCCTCAGTTAGGAAGCAGAAGTGACTGGTGGCGGCCCCAGGGGAAGGAGAGTCGGTGCCCGGATGTTTCTCGGCGGTCTCTCTCTACCACCAGTTTCTCCAGCAACCTGAAAGACCTCTCCCCTCTAAGGTGTAAACACTGCTCACTGCGGAGCAAAATGCTATACTAAGATGGCATTCCCTTTACTGTACAACTTCTTAAAAAATTCCTAGTTGCCTTTCTCTTTTCCATTACTTGACTGGATGATACACTAAAATTTTCGCAAACTCTCCATGGTACGAGGACTCCGGCGTCGCTACACAACCGTCACCTGAGTCTTCAGTTTTCCCACAGTGGACCCCAGATTTTCTGGGCACAATGTCTTTCTCACTCTTCTTTCTTTCACTGGAGCACACCCTCAAATAATGAAGATGTTCAGTCATATGTGTCAGAAATATGACAGAAATCACAGTCATTGTCATTTTCCACATTTTTGACTGCTTAGCATGGTTCTGGGTGAGTGATCTGTGCATAATTTGGAAGGCCGAACTACAGGTAAGTAAATAAGTTTGGTTTACTCTCCTGAATTCTATGGATTGCACAAACCTTGTCAAGAAATGAAAACAAAGAAAAAACCCAAACGCTGCACCAGTTATTTAAATTTCTCCCTGTGCTGAGGGAACTTTTGGGGATAATGGAAATTTTCTCTATATTTGTTATATAACTGTATTCATTTGTCAAAACTCACCAAGCTGTGTTCTTTAACAGGGTGAATTACACTGTCTCTAAAGTATATTTCAATAAACCTGATAAAAACCAAAACCAAAATGCCTTTCTATGCCTTCCCTTGCAGACATATTTTTGGTTGTAACAGTGTACATATTTTTAGTACTGTATTCCCACATAATTATTTAAATACCTTTCCATGTTGCTACTGTCCTGAAGCAGTGATTCTGAGAAAGGTCAGAGTCTGTAACCACTAGATGGACAGTATGGCCAAACCAGTGAGATCATGACATCGGGTGATAGTGGCATCCTTTAAATCCTCCTTGGTGTTTCCAACATAGTTCATTGTAAAAATGTAGAAGTCCCACCACTCACAAATTCACATTTTACCACAGGGGACGTGGAGTAGGTATGAGAATGTGTCCAAGCGCACAGATGGTAACTGGTCAGGAATGGACTCTTCTGAGGCAGGAGCTATAACAAGTCGTTGTCAGGTTTCTCTTCTTCCCTCTGGTGCTCAGCAGTGTGAGACCGTGTATAATTTGTAGATTACCACACCCAGGCATCTGCCCGAAACTACAGAAGCCAAAGGCACTTTTCTTACCTACATAATTGAGTGGGCACTAAAATTAAAGCTATGGATGGAAATAGCAAAGGAATCCAACATAAAAAAAACCAGACTCCCCCCCTTCCAATCATTCTTTTCACTGACTATTTCCTTGTCTATTGCTTGATCACACAGGATCCTCCTGATGTTCATTATCAAGGTAAAAAATCCAAGGCCTCAGATTCCTCACAGTGAGCTCACTACTGGCTCACCAAATGGCCTTCCTTAAATCCTGAGTCAGTCATTGGATACTTTCTGATTACTTCCTCTCATAGGCTTTGCATCCCCCTACCCCCCATTTCTCAAATTACAATGGCCCATCTCATTGTTATGCCATATTCCTAAAACCCAGAATGTTCTGCAAACTTGAAATTCTGGCAGCCCCAGAAGGCAGTTACAGACTGATGATAAAGGTCAACACTGGACACTGTAAAGGGCAAATACTACCATTTCGTACCCAGCGGATAGAAGAGAGTAATCAAACCTGGTCCTTAATTGTGAGAACTTAAGATGGAGTTGGGAAAACGATAATGACTTACACAAGACCAGGAGAGTATCAATAAAGACATGAGCAGAAGCCATGGAAACAAACCGGCAGGCGCACTGAGAGTTGAGAACATGAGGGAGCTCATGGGAAGGGAGACAAAGGGTTCAGGCTACAAGGGGTGACTTCCCAGGAGAAGCAAGATCCTGGAAGAAATGCACTATTTGGCCACGGGAAGAACCGGCCATCTCAGATAAGGGGAGCAGCAGGAGGAGCAGCACAGAGGATGGGAGTAGCCCTGCATGCGGAGAAGATGGGGGAGACCCTGGCATGGCTGCGGCAGAGCACACAGGTGGGGCAGGCAGAAGGGAGAGGACTGGAGAAGGGGCGTGGGGTGTAACTACAGATGGCCCCGTGACTTGGACGGGTTTCTTCCTAGTATGCCACTTCTGACGCTGAATGAAACTTGCACTCCATGTGAAGGTTTTCCCACACGTCTCACACTCGTAAGGTTTCTCCCCCGTGTGAACTCGCTCATGCTGTACCAGGGTGACTTTCTGATTGAACGCCTTCCCACACTCTTGGCATTCATAAGGTTTCTCTCCCGTGTGGATTCTCTGATGTACAACAAAACGGGAGCTACAACTGAAAGTTTTCCAACATTCACTGCACTTACAGAGTTTCTCCCAGTGTGGAACCTCCGGTGCTAGAGAAACACTGAACTCCGGCGGAAGGCCTTGCCGCACTCTACATTCATAGGGCTTCTCCCCAGTGTGGATTCTCTGATGCTGAATCAGGACTGAACTCGAACGGAAACTTTTCCCACACTCCTTACATTCGTGGGGCTTCTCCCCAGTGTGGATTCTCTGATGCTGAATCAGGACTGAACTCGAACGGAAACTTTTCCCACACTCCTTACATTCGTGGGGCTTCTCCCCAGTGTGGATTCTCTGATGCTGAATCAGGACTGAACTCGAACGGAAACTTTTCCCACACTCCTTACATTCGTGGGGCTTCTCCCCAGTGTGGATTCTCTGATGCTGAATCAGGACTGAACTCGAACGGAAACTTTTCCCACACTCCTTACATTCGTGGGGCTTCTCCCCAGTGTGGATTCTCTGATGCTGAATCAGGACTGAACTCGAACGGAAACTTTTCCCACACTCCTTACATTCGTGGGGCTTCTCCCCAGTGTGGATTCTCTGATGCTGAATCAGGACTGAACTCGAACGGAAACTTTTCCCACACTCCTTACATTCGTGGGGCTTCTCCCCAGTGTGGATTCTCTGATGCTGAATCAGGACTGAATTCGAACGGAAACTTTTCCCACACTCCTTACATTCGTAGGGCTTCTCCCCAGTGTGGATTCTCTGATGCTGAATCAGGACTGAATTCGAACGGAAACTTTTCCCACACTCCTTACATTCGTGGGGCTTCTCCCCAGTGTGGATTCTCTGATGCTGAATCAGGACTGAATTCGACGGAAACTTTTCCCACACTCCTTACATTCGTAGGGCTTCTCCCCAGTGTGGATTCTCTGATGCTGAATCAGGACTGAATTCGAACGGAAACTTTTCCCACACTCCTTACATTCGTGGGGCTTCTCCCCAGTGTGGATTCTCTGATGCTGAATCAGGACTGAATTCGACGGAAACTTTTCCCACACTCCTTACATTCGTGGGGCTTCTCCCCAGTGTGGATTCTCTGATGCTGAATCAGGACTGAATTCGAACGGAAACTTTTCCCACACTCGTTACATTCGTAGGGCTTCTCCCCAGTGTGGATTCTCTGATGCTGAATCAGGACTGAATTCGACGGAAACTTTTCCCACACTCCTTATATTCGTAGGGCTTCTCCCCAGCGTGAACTCACTCATGGATGATGCCGTCATAGCTACATCGGAAAGCCTTCCCACAAGCCTTACATTTAAAGGGTTTCTCCCTGGTGTCGATTCGCTGGTGCCGGGTAAGTTTTGAGTTGTAACTGAAGGTTTTCCCACAGTTCTTACATTCATAGGGCTTCTCTCCACCATGGAGTTTCTGATGCTGAAGGAGGTGTGAATTCTGACCAAAGGCTTGTCCACATTCCTGACATGAGTATGGTTTCTCCCCAGGGTGGATTTGCTGGTGCCGTGACAGTTTTGAGTTATATCTGAAGGCTTTCCCACATTCTCGGCATTTATAGGGCTTCGTATTGCTGCGAATTCCCTGATGCTGGTGAAGCTCTGAATGCTGACTGAAACCTCTGCCACGTTCACCACACTTACCACACACCTGCTCTCTAGGGAGGCCCTGCTGTGTGATGAGATCCGTGCTGCCTTCCAGTGTCCCGGCCATCCCGTCCCTTTCCATGGTGGAGGTGTCTGATCCTGGACTGTCAAGTCTGTGAACTCTCTTTTCTTCGAGTTTGTTGTCTTTCCCGTGTCATACAGCAGTGGCTTCTCTAAGCTGTCCTTCAAGTGAGGGTGCTGGGGAGCAGCCACCAGCTGCATCTCTGCTCCCAGCCGGGGGGACTCTGGTTCTTCAGGAATGTGCCGCGTGGGTGTTTGCTCCTCATTCTCAGTCTTGGTTTCACCACCTAGCACGATGGAAAGCAAACACAAGAGGCACTTGTTTGCACAGGAAGGGGAAAGGATTAAGCAGTACTTGCTTGCCCCAGCACACACATTTTTGGAGAGAGACAGAACCACCTGATGGTGCCCCGAGGGGAAAGTAAAAACCCTGGAGGTGGAGAAGGCGGGCAGTGCTGTCAGGACAACGAAAACAGCGCAGAGAGCAGAAGCTGTTCATTGAGACCAGCGGGGAAGGAAAAGGGAATGCAGTGGAGAAGCCGCAGGAACGGGAAGCACCGAAGAAAAGCAGAGGGAGCTGAAGGGGAGGAAAGCGATCTCTCCACTGCAGCAGAGAGAGCTGGGGAGCAGCTCTGCACCACACAGTGTCCAGAGGGCTGGGAGATGCTGTTGGCAACAGTGGAGCCCAAAGCCCCGTCAAGACACAAAGGCTGTCGCTGTCCCATTACTTTACACTGGTCTGTAGTCTTGAAAGACTTTCTCTATCACGAGCCCAACTGGAAGAACACGGTCCGTGGTAACTCTGCTGGCTGTGAAGAGTTCATAGAAGGACCCCTATTTCAAACCCATGAACCGTAAGCTAGGAGAGAGATTTATCTCTGAAAGGAAAAAAGACACACCTGGTCAAGACCCTTCCAGGACTGGAAATGGCAACTGGGGATTGGGGGAACCTCGCGCTCTCACTGGTGGCACTACGACATTGAAGCCTTTTTGCCCTTTTTTGCACAGAAACCTTTTCAAGCATCAAAGATCTGACAAATGAGACTTCTAGCTTAATGTTTCTCAAGCTTTTGTGACCGACTCAAATTTTAGATCCTGACCCAGTACACACATGCTTACATACACACGTATACACACACACACACACACACAAACTGAAATGGAAACAGAGGTTCCACCAAACAATACCCTCGATAAAAGTGATAATTTATGACAGATTTTACACTATTTTTGGTCTCTTTTATTTCAGTCTATTAGTCTAATTTTTAAATGCTGAGCATTTAAATGCAATTCATTGATGAGTTGCAACCCAGAGTTTGAAAATCAGGGTTTGAGACTCTCAAGAAGAGTGGTTCTCAAAGTGTGGTCCTTGGCCATCATCTGAGAACTGTCGGAAATGCTCGTTCCCGGGCCCGCACCAGTCATGCTGGGTTAGAACCTCTGGAGGTGGTGTCTAGCAGTCTGTTGTAACAGGCCTCTCAAGTGATTCTGATGCACACCGGAGTCTGAAGCCCAGGGATCTGGGAACTAACAAAGGCAGGCGGAGGCTGTTCTTTCAGTTGGGTAAGGGTGTGCTGTCCAGTAGGGTGGCCGCTGGCCACATATGGCAGTTTAAGTGGAAATTAATTAAAATGGAACAAAATTAAAAATTCAGCCCATCAGTTGCACTAGACACATTTTGAGTGCTTGTGTGGCTAAGGGCCACCATGGTGGCCAGCACAGTTACATAGCACTTCCGTCACTGTAGACAGTTCTACGGACAATGCTGGTTACAGCCTTTCCCGGGCCAAGTAGACCACATGCAGCTGTGGCCAGGGAAACACTGACAACTGTGGGCAGACTGCTGGGAAGGCGTTCCATCCAGATGACCTGAAGTGCTGGAGGCAACCTGAAGGCACTGATTAAGACAGGTGTGTGTGTTGGGGGGAGGGGAGGTGAGAAAGGTTCACAGAGGTTCTGCATAGCCTCAGGGATTGAGAGAGTATGAGAACACAGCCAAGTGAAGAGAAAGACTATATACCGAATCTCTAGGTTCTTTACATTTACCGCAATTGAATATCTTTCAAAAAAGGAAGCTATTCATTCCCAATAAATAAACAGGCTTTTGCCCAGCTGGTGTGGCTCAGTGGCTGGGCAACGACCCATGCACCGAGAGGTCACTGGTTTGATTCCCGGTCAGAGCACATGCCCAGGCTGTGGGCCCGATCCCCAGTGGGGGGGCGTGCAGGAGACAGCCAATCAATGTTCTCTCTCATCGATGTTTCACTTTCTCTCTCTCTCTTCCTTCTCTCTCTAAAATCAATAAAGAAAAAAGGGGAAAAAATTAAAAATAAGCAGGCTTTCTTTCAAGAGCTAATTTGTAATTGAGTGTTTAGGAATTCATAAAAAGTCCATTCTTCTATAAGCTTCACACACACACACAATGTTCTTACAGAAACAAGTTCTTACTATATTGTATTTAGATTCCTACCTCAGCTCACAGAAGCCTGTTATCACGAGGTGTTTGAAATCCTTTTGCCTTCCTAAGAAAAATGACAGAAAATGAAATCTTGGGACTGGTCTCCAAAGATTTAGTGAGGGGCACTTTTCTGAATAAAAATAGCTATTTTTCATCCCCACAGCAGCCGTATGGCAGAAGGAACCCCTGTTTCATGTTTAATCATTACAGGACGGGAGGGGCAAAGCTGGCGGGGAAGGGGTGCGTTCTGCTTACCTGTGCAGACGCCTCCGGGCCTCTGCCCCCGCGGCTGTCCAGGCATCCAGGCCCCAGGGCACTTCCCTCGCTCCAGCTGGAATATCCACTCTGGTTTGGGAAATGGAAATGCCGCTGAAGGAGAAAGCAAAGGGGCAGGAAGCTGAGCAGAGCCCCCCGCCCTCTGGGTCCCCCCTCCTCTTCGCCAGGTGACAAAGGAAGTGGCTGTCCTAGAGACTGAGTGAGGTCAGTGTGGAGAGAATCGGAAGACCTAAGACAGGCTCGAATTGTGTTGCTCAGGAGAAAGCTTGTTGTAGCTCTATCTGAAAGGACAGATGCTCCCCTGGTGCTGGAGGTAAACATGGGGGCCCCAGGAGACTCTCACAGAGCAGCTGGGGCAGGTCTCCTCCAGGAGCTGGGAGAGTGGAGGAACGAAGCTGGGCCACGGGAACCCCGCCTGTCTGTGCCAGAGCAAAGTCCCCTTCAGGACAGGCCCCCCAGGAAACAGGGAAGAGGGAAGCCTTGTTTAAACCAAAGTGAACCTAGATCTTTCTCCATCCTGCAACTGGGGAGTAGGGAGCTCAGCACCAGGAGCATCGACCCTGCTCGACTCGAGGTTTCAGGTTGGCTGAGGAGGAAGCCGGGAGCGAGAGCTGAGGCGGAGTCTCAGGACGGAGGACTTCCCAAGGCAGCCACGTTGGCGTAGTTCTCCAGCATCACCTCCCGCACAGGGCCCTCTGCACAGGGGCCAGGCTGGCCCACTGATTCCGGGTGAAGTACACGGCCGCGTCCTCACAGGCCACCGGCTCCTGAAACAACAGGTTCCTGCTCACGCCTGAGTGAGGGCAGGGAGGGGCCTGAACTGCGGGAAGGGCCGAATCTATTGGCGTCCATGGTTCTGAGCCCCATGGAAGGTTTGTACTCAGAGAGCCACAGTCAGAGGCAGTCCTCAGCAGCTCCCCCATTTTCAATGTGCACACTCTGGGGCCCCAGTACTGTCATCCCGAGCGCACAGTCCAGCACCTGCTCTTGTCTCCCTGCTGACACGCTGACCCTGTGTTCGGTGCCATGAGCCGGCCCCACCTTCCTGGCCTGTTTTCCAAAGTGAGCACAGCAGATGTCTGCCTTTCCCCGTCTCCATCCATCCTGAAGCCCCCGGCAGGGCCCCTGACTGCTCTGCTCTTTGGTCTCCCCCTCCACGCCCTTTACTGTCAACAGCGTGGCGATTCCACGGGCACAGAGTTCCTTTCACTCTGACATCTCTCTTTCTGACATCTTGCCTTATCAGAAAGCTGGTTGTCTCTTGAAAGCAATATGTGGTCACCTCCTCCTCTCCTAACAGACCTGACTCCAGGGACAGAATGACCGTCTCCGTCCTTGAGCACGGACCTGCAGCCACCCGCCTAAGCTCCGTCTGCAGGCCAGCGCTGCCCCTTCACCAGGCGCGTCTCCTTCCGCCTCCGGCTGGGGCCGTGCCACCTTCTCAGGAGAGGACACCATCACAGGGCTTTAGGCCTTCGTGCCTCGTCCTGTGTCATTTATCTTTATATCAATCACTCAATCATTAGAACGCACCTGTGAAGTAAGAATGATCATTTTTTAGATGGGAATCAGTAATATTAAGCACTTTCAAATAGACAAAAGGGAATCTTCTTTATCTGGCTATTTATTACAAGGTTGAATAAGGAAGCAAACATTTCAAGCGAAGTGACCACTTATATAACTCAGTCCAACTATGACCTCTCTCCCAGACTCACACTGTCCACTATCCTGTCGTGTCAACTACCTTCTCTCTGTGCTCAGTCCCTGATGGGTGGAAGAAATAGCTATGGAAGTACCTAGAGGATTGGCAGCCATCATGGCAAAGACTGGTTCCGACAACAATCATCAATGGATGCTAAACCTAGGAGAAAATTTTGGTAAGGAGCAGGACATCTGCGTAATCTTCAATGTTTCCTCAAAGATATTTTTTCTTTTTATTGACTGAATTGAGAGAGAGAGAGAGAGAATGATTTCTTGTTCCATCCATTTATGCATTCATTGGTTGACTATTTTATATGCCCTGACCGAGGATAGAACCCACAACATTGGCATATTGGGATGATGCTCTAACCAACTGAGCTACCCAGCCAGGGTCCCCAAAGATTTATTATCTGCAAGGGTAAAACAGTAACTATGCAGTGAATAAGTCAGATAATACCTTGACCAGGAAGTTTCAATGTGTCTAGGATGACTGAGGAACTAAATTTCTAATTGTAATTAGTTTTAATTTAAATAGGAACAAGTGCCCTGCCCATGTGGCTCAGTGGATTGTTACCGCATGGACTGAGAGATCCAGGTTTGAGTCCTGGTCA